CAACTCAATTCATTCAATCTGCATATTGGACCTCACTGCTTTACAGTTTACGTTGAAAGACATGGTAAAAATATCCAGTTCTGTTTGAAGTACACTGAAATCTTGAAATCTTCATTCGAACTTTAAATGCAGTTTTCTCAAATCATCTTCATAATTCTGAAGCTTCTGTTCATTTACTGAGGATATTGAGTTTAACCTCGAGAAATGAGACAAGTCGATCTTAGCTAGCTGCCCAGAAAACAGATGAAGTTTTCTTATTAAGTTTAAGGTTAAGATAAATTTTTTTCTGAGAGGTCAAATTTACCTGTATTGGGTTCCCATATGTCTGCTCCCCGAGAAAGAGATAACGCTTGTTGGCGCCAATCTACAGGTATTACTAACAAAGAACTCCCGCTTTTAACACTTGACCAATTGAAAGCTGTTTGTGCTTGCTATTTCCGTCAATTTGTGTTTTATAGACCAAAAATAGAGAAAGAAAAAAAATCATCAGCCCTTTTAAAAAAAAGGAATAAAAAAATTAATATTTGAACAAAGTAGAAAAGGCGATGGTATATAATATATAAATACATATTTCTTTTAATTTGCCTCGGGCCGGCAAATCAAAATTCTATCCGCGGGCCGGATAGAACCTTCTGCCGGGCTGGAGTTAGTCAGCGGGCCGTAGTTTGCCCATCCCTGAAATAGAGTATGTAAAATATTAGTCTAAAAATAGATCTTTGGGGAATAACCGCTAGGAGGGTTTTTTTTTTTTTTTTTTTTTTTTTTTTTGTTTTTTTTGTTTTGTACTGTATATAGAATTGTCGTGCTTCAGAGTAAAGATGTACAAATTTATCTGCAGAATCAGACACCTGGAAAATCATTTTATGAGCTTGTACAGGTGTCTTTGGTGCCAGAAGCTTGTACAGGAGTTCTCGGCACAGGATTCCTCGGCGCCAGGTCAAACGCTTTGGCCAAGCCTAGCACTAGGACTGCGATGCGCATTTTATTGTAATGTGTTGATTTGCGAGTTTGATAAGCTGAGGTGAGGTGTAAAGTTCTGTACGAATTCTGTGTTGATGGTTTGCTAAGCAACTGAGACAGTCAAGCAGACTGCAGATGAGTCGCTCCAAAATTTTACTAAGAGAGGATAACAGTCTGATTGGTCTATAGTTAGAGGGGTTGTGTTGCGGCTTCCCAGGCTTGGAAAACAGGAAAATATTCGCGTGCTTCAAAGCTCTCGGAAAATATAGATTTTGAAGACAAGCGTTAAGAATGCTAATAAGCTTCTAGATGGTACTGAATGACAAATTCTTTAACATGTGGTTATCTATATCATCACATCCCGCAGCTTTTCTGGTTTTTAATTTTCTGATGATGCAATTCACATCGTGTGGAGTAGCAAAATTTGCAATGTCCATAAAAAGCAACAATTAGGCTTGGTAGCAGCCGAAGAGTAAGAGCGCTGAAGTCTTAAATTTTGAACCCTGGGTAAGCTACTGACGAATTGGTTGGCTGCTTGAGAGCTTTCGCGGTCCCTTCCCCCCATGTATCGAGTGAACACAATCCAGTTTCCCTCATATAATTCATAAAGCGATCTTTCTCCCTAGGCATATGTATGTAGTTTGCTGTAATCAAATAATGCAGTTCAAGCAGCAGACCCTGCCGTACGACATACATGCCGTCCATTATGTATATGCCTCATTGCACAACGACCTTGTAGAAATAGATGTACTGTGTTTACAGTCCACAGTTGCAAATATTATGTAGGCAAAATATTACGCTCTGTTCTGGAGTTGTAAACATCTGCGAAATCGCACACTTTGCACCTGTTGCTTTGTTTACATATTGAGCCCCCTTAAAAATTTCTTGTCAACTGTTGTCTTCTGTTATAAGTGAACACTGGTAGTTCGGTTCGAAGTTCGAATCCCGCGAACGGGCTGGCTGCATGGGAGTTTTCGTGGTTTTCCCCATGTGTAACATGTATATGAGCCAATTTCCCTTAGAAAGTCCTCCACGAAGGCATCCCTTCCTTAAGGCAGACAGCCCTTGAGTGCTTTGCCGTAATCTAATAAACCAACCAAACCAACTTCTGTTATAAGTATTGAAAATGTTGGCGATTTATGGAGCTTTGCTGCATCAAACTAACTGTGAGCGACTTTCTGACGGAAACTGAGCCGTATCCATATTACACGTTAAGAAATTGAGTGCTGTTAGTCAGTTTAACCACTGCAAAATATACCTAAGATGAATTGTTCCTGTTTCGTAATTTTAACTATTTAACCTCTGGTATTTCTCATCATCTAAAACAGTAAAGTTTACCGACAATGTTTCCAAAGTGTACGCTTTACGTATTTAGAACGCATATAATAAACGATTTCAGTAAACATATTAAGGACATATCATTTTCTCAATATTATTCCGCAGAGTATCTCGTCATTTTACCTTCATCTGCAGTATCGTAAGTGTTTATATTGAAGTTTCCACCGAAACATTGAAATTAATTTCCTCAAAGTCCACCAATGACCGACAGGATACGACCGTTGAGCACTGGTCGTTCGACTCACATTCAGATTTCGGTGAATGATTTAATTGTATGGGAGTTTTCATAGTTTGTAACCTGAATGCGTGTCAGGTTTGCCCCACGTCTCAAAGTTCTCTACTAAAGCAACCATTCTTTTAGGCAGATAGCGGGATCATGGTTTGCCATAACTGACTAAATCCAACTAAATTTCGTTATAAAGAAAATCCAAATTCAGTCATTTAGTGAATAGGGAGAGTTGTTTAAGGTCAAGGGAAAAAAAGAGGATATTCAAATACGCTCATATTTCAGCTCTATATCCTTTTAATTCGGTAGATTATTCCTTTCAATTGATTTTTATTTCATAATTTATGAATCTATATGCTACGTCAAGTGAAATTTATGAATTTCGCATGTCAGATATGCAAGGTTTTTCTCAGCTTTTTCTTCTTTTAATAGGCCTTTTCTTAGTCGCTTACAGTAACAAGTTCTTTTTTTGTTAGAAAAACTTGTTTTTGAAAACAATAACTACATTTTCCATTTCATGAAAAATGAAATTCTAATTCTATATAATAGATTTTTTTTATGAAAAAGGAATTTTGGATCTTTGTACTTGTGATCAGTTTTATGGATAGTGATTAAGTTTATTAGAAATGTATTGTAGAGACATTAGGATTTTTTGGAAGCCGACGAGATGAATAATTAGCAATCGCCTTCGCGGGGAATCGAACCACAGACCTCTGGAATACCGGCCCAGCGTGCAGAACCACTACACCACGAAGGCACGTTAGGAAGGCGGAAAAAATACCTTATTGTATCATTTTATCGAAAAGAGTTCAGAATCTCTGACATATAGCTATATTTCCCATTGATTTAAATATTTCCCAAACTTGCTAGAATATAAAATTTAAGAAAAGTGACAAAGTCAGCATATCTTTGGTCATTGCTTAGTAAATGAATTACTTGAAATATTTTTCAAAATAATAAAAATTACATCAACATGTCATATATGACTAATGAATGTTATTAATTAATAAATAGTTCTTGAGCATGTTTAGCAAATTTAACACATTACAAAATATGCATGTCGTTTCTACAATAAAGGTGACGAAATAGTAAAAGCTATTCTAAAAATAAAGTTGAGAAAGAAAGTCAGAAGATTTTGAAATTTTTTTTAGAATTTATAATTAATTCAATTTGATTTAAACGACTGCATTATTGCTCTAAAATAATGAAAAAAACATTTTTTTTTTCAGTTTCAGCCTTAAATCGTAATTTACAATACGTAAAATAAGCATAGAAAACAGGTGCGTTTTAATTAACACATGCAAAAATCGGAAAAATAATAAAAAGAGTCTCTGTCGTTAAGAGCCATCAGAGGCCAAGCGCTGAACACTGGGCGGGGTCAAATCCTGGCAAACGGGCTGGTCTATATAGGCATTTTCGAGGTTCTTCCCATGTTTTACGTATATACAAGCCAGTTCCCCATGGGCAGGTACCCTCGAGTGCTTTTTCATAATTAACTTAACCAAACTCTTGTCTCTCAGATAAAAAGGAAAGCAAAAACTATACAAAAACTGTGGGCTATTTTGGAAACTTAGTTCTTTCATGATTAGAAATTAGAATTACTCACCATTCAGCAATAAATTAGGTACACTTGCAATTTTGAGCTAAGTGCATGAAGTTTATTGAAAAGAGCGAAAATGTTTGTGTGACTATAAGGTACTGTAAATTTTAATGCGATTTTTAGACTAATATTTTAGAAGATGCCTGCCTCATTAAGCGATTAAGTTTCTACAATAATACTTTATTCTATATATTTCACCACACATTCCTATTAATTTCACTTTTGAATATTGTTTTGTATTTTACCTTATAGTTTTGCTCTCAATTTTTATTCTCATTTCTTTGGGTCTTGTTAAGCTACGTGATTTTTTACATAGATGCACCCTCTTGATACATAATTTTTGTAATTAATTTGAATATGTATACCGACTGTTGAAAATTGGACAATGGTTTCTTTGTCTAGTTGCCTTTCACGAGGCATATCTTTGTAACATTACAATGCGATGTCAAATGCAAATTGAAATTTAAATATCAGAAAAAGTTAACTTTAAAGTTAACAGCAAAAATTAAATGAAAATCTTGATATCAGAAAATATTATGAAATGTATAGCTGTAAATACCAAGATTCATGGTGGCATAAATGTGGAATAGTCATAAGATGGTTAAAAATAGCCTTCTTAAGATAAAACTCAATAAACTGTACGGAATTCAGATGTAAAATCTAGGTTGTAACAACAAATCACCTTGTAGTTTTATATAATAGGTAAATAATGGATAAAGTGATACTTTCTTGTAAATTTTACGAATCTGTTCTTGGTATAGTACGATGACATTTATTTTTATGCTAGCCAAGTTTCACCTATTAAAGCTTGTGTACGAATAAAAAGTATGTATACTAGTTCCATCATTTTATTAACAATGCAATAGGAACAACAGGAAAGAATATTCAAGCATTTTATTAACAATAATAACAGTTCCATCATCCTTCTTAACAATGGAAATCAGAAGTATCAAAACGGTATAGGAACATTCAGATTGTCAGTAATTCTTACCGACCGGCTATAACATACCTGTTAAACAAGTAAAGTTTGTACAAAAATTCCGACCTACATGCAGATGTGACTTTATCACTGCTTTTCTGCCTTCACTGATGGCATATTTGGCAAGTTCTCCTGGTAGCAGAAGTCTTACGGCCGTTTGAATCTCTCGACTGCTGATCGTGCTCCGCTTGTTGTAGTTCGTCAAGCGACTTGCTTCGACAGCCAGACGTTCAAATATATCATTTACGAAATCATTCATTATGATCATAGCCTTGCTTGAAATACCAATATCCGGAAAAACCTGCTTCAAAACCCTGTAAATATAGGTACTGAAAGAAAAAAAAAGTGCATTTAAATAACTTTAGTAAATTTAAATAAATTTTTAAATGAAAAAATTTTAAATTAGAATATACAGTGAAAATCGGTTAACACGAAACTGATGGGACTGAAATACTTTTCTGTGTTAAAAGAATTTAGTGTTAAAGGATATTGAAAAAAAAAATATTACAAACAAAATTAAGTTTATTGGAGTACATTTTATTTACATAGATAAGTATAAATGCATGCATTTAATAAAAATCATTGAAACAAAAACATCCACAAGCACTTCATGAAATTTGATACAAAATGTTTTTTGAAAAACATAACATTTATTGAGTTTCTGGAAAATAATCTGATATTTTTCTTTCCTTTTTCTTTTTAGCATAAAATTGTTAACACATTTTTCAATGTCGTCCATTTTGCTATTTATTTCACCATTGGAATGTGCGTCTAAATAACTGCGCATACTTTCTATGATGTTCCTCATTTCGGGTTGGTTTGGTTTACTTAATTATGGCAAAGCACACTAGGGCTATCTGCCCAAGGGGAGGGATGCCTTCGTGGAGGGATTTCTAAGGGAAACTGGCTCGTATACATGTTACACATGGGAAAAACCACGAAAACACCCATGCAACCAGCCCGTTCGCGGGATTCGAACCTCGGACCGAACTACCAGTGTTCAGCGATTTTACCGCTCGGCCGCTGGTGGGCCTGTTCCTCATTTCGGATGACGTGGGAACAGGAACTGCATTATTAGTTTCATTATTGTCGTCGGAATCTGCATTAATAATGTTTTTTTAGCTTTGAACAAACCCCAAAATGTCTTTGTCTGCCATAATTGGAGCTGTACACACATTATCATCAACTACTGCAGCGAAGTCTTCCGATAATATAATACAGTAGGACAGACCATTAACACAGAAACTTCATCAAACATTTCATCACGTGTCGGCTCAGTTTCAATTTCCTCCTCCTCCGTTCTTTTGGCTCCAAAGAATCTGATACTTTTGAGAATCGTGCATGACGAAAACCATTTTCATTCGTCCTTGGAGTCAATCAATTCCACGCAGAGTGCAACATATGAAGAGACAGAAACATGCAGAGTGCAACATATGAACTCACCGATTTTTACTCACACTGCGATGTACTCGTCACCGATTCCAAAACCAAGTGATGAGAGATGAGATGTTTGTGTGGCATTTGTAGGGGTGGAAGGTGAAAGTAGCTTAGGTAAATAAACTTGGCTCGTGTCACAGGCTATTCCAAGGGTATTTAAAAGCAAAGTTAGGCTCCTTTCCACGAAACATATGAAACCACCTCTCTTTCATTTCACACCCCGCTTAAATGTCGCCTGCAAGGCCGGTGTTTTCCGTATTTTTTTTCCATTTTCAGAATCGATATCTTTTCGTGCTAAGAGAAAAAAAATCCATGAAAACACATAGCAGTTTGTCAAGACAGTTGGAGTGTCAGATAGACCCAGCTAGCGAGTGTTAGAGCTTTTTGAGCTCCGCGTTTTCCGCCTTTATATCTGGCAATATTCATCGGAGAAGTATAAAAGTAGTTGTTCTGTGTAGCCTAGAGCGTAAGCATTACGCGGATACCAAGTTTACATGGATACGACCAGTGGTTTGTGAATTATGAATTTTCTAAGAATATAGAAAATCACTACATTGTTCTGTGCCATTTCTGTGCTACCGCTAGCTTTATCACCCAGTCGAGACGCCGTTGTCCATCGCAGAGGATAATTTTTTACACCATCAGAAAGAGCAACTTCCCAGCATTACCACAAAAGTTGTTTCATTGGAATTGGATAAGTGGATGATTTTTTTATCAATTTTTAAAAAATTTTTGAAACTCTAAGTTAGCATATTTTGCACGTCAAGAAAACCAGTTCAAAGGAGCGACCTTTGGGAGCAATCGTCTCCCCCACGGGCAGGAGAACCAGTTCAAAGGAGCGTACCTTGGAAGCAATCGTCCCTCCCACCACGGGCAGGAGAAAATAGTCAAGGACGTTCAAGTGTAAGCGGGCATTCCTTAACAAGCCGTTAATTAATAACCAATTAGTTCCCCTGACTCGGGACCAACACTAATCCTCCTAACTCGCGGATACAGGATTCTAAATTTGGAGACAATCGACCCTTTAGTTCCGGAGTTAGTATTTTTTTGAGAGTTAATTATTTGGACTTAGATTTTCGTCATCTGTGTGCGAAAAGTGCTGTGTCAACAGTGAGTACCGTGTGTGTTAATAATGCCATTCCCTTTCACCTAACAAAAACGGGAAGAAGGACTGAGGATTATTAGTACAATTTGCTAATCAAGCGGCTAATTGGAGTAGCTCGTCGGGACCCTTGGATTTGGAATCCTCACGCGATAAGGATCACGGATATTTAAAAATCGAAATTTTTGAACGAGTACAACTAGAGATGTCAACTTTGTGTTATTCAGGACTAGAATTTACATCTTCCAGTGATTGTGCCAGTGATTTGCATAATTAAGTGTTGTGTGACTATAATCTGGATTACGCAGTTCCGCAGCAGCATCCTGTACAGAAAGCACAGATAAGATAATAACGGCCAAGGTAGGCTTTCTCTACAATAATTAAATATCTAATTATTTTCCGAGTTTAGCTATATAATTGATTTAATTTTCCGCCGGATGTAATCAATTACATAATAGGACAAGTACTCTTTTTGTTAGCTACTTCAATGACTAAGATACAGGTTTCTATTTAATTAATGTAATTAATTTTCCTAATTTTAAAATTTAAATTGTGTGTTGCTCTGCTTCGATGGTGCAGTAGCACTGAGTAAGAAGCATATGCTAAGCTAATTGACAGATTTTTGCTAAGTAGCGCAGATAAGTTTTTAATTGTGTATTTAATTACCTGCTATTAGCAACTTTATTTTGATATTTCACAACATTGTGGTATTTATTTTGTGTGCAGTCCGCATATCGTGACATCTAAGCAAACTGTAGTCTGATAGGTGCCATAGATTAATTAATGTATGTGAAGTTAATTACCTGTAATTAACAAATCTTCACGTTACCTGTTTCAGTGGTCTTAATTTTGAGTGTATTTATTGACATAGTTGCTTCACTGTTGAACAACTGTGTATTAATATTGAATAACGAATTTAATTGACATACAGTCAGTTCCCGTTAATTTGTGCACAGAGTGATATATGCGATTGTTTAACAAGTGCTTAGTGAATTTAATTAGCATCTATAGTTAGTATTTGATAATTGTGTGCAAGTGATATATGTGACATCATTAACAAGTGCTTAGGAAGTTTTAATTGATATATACAATTAACTATTTATGACTTGTGCACAGTGTGACACATGTTATTTGTGTAATTTATTTAATGAGTGTTCTTATTTTGACATAGGCAGTTAGTGTTGATTTATCGTGCACAAAGTGATTTTCATTCATGATTTATTAAACAAGTGTCAAGTTATCTTAATGGTGTATACAGATAGTTCTTGATTAATTGTGCACAGAGTGACATATGTTATCTATTTGACCAAAAATAAGTGCATTGCGATTCTTCGCATTAAAGTGCCTTAGTTAAAGTGAAAACAATGTTTAGGGCCATCGCGTTTAGCTGTTAAAAGTGCCTTAGTGAAAGTGTCATCAGTAATTAGTGCATAGTGTCTACTCACATAAGAGTGCTCTAGTGAAAGTGTCATCAGTGCTTACCGCATCGTGTATATTCGCAAAAGTGCATTAAGATACACCAAGTGTTTTTTAGTGAATTTTTCTCAGCGTAAAGCGGATCGTGCGATACTAAAGTGACATGACACACCCCTCAGTGTTGCCAGAGAACACGGACACCCAAAATTTACAAGAGCCACTGGATACAAATGCGCTGACAACCTCGGAATTGACCCACGAGGACCGAGTTAAAGCCCTTGTCAAAGACATCTGGCAGATCACTGCCACTTACAGAAGGGGAAGGCATCTTCTTCCGCAGAATCTCCGAGATCGGGTCCAGCAATCTCTAAGTATCCTACGGGCTTAGCAATTGAGGGTGAAGACTTTAAGCCCAAGCCAGTTACTGCAGAGATAGGTGTGAATACGTCCACTTTTGTTTGCTGCAGCCAGCTGCACACACGCCGCCCACGGCAGCACAAAGTGAACCTCAGCAAAGAGCCACTCCTCCAGTTCCAGAGGCATTTGCTGATGCACAGGACACAACGCCAAGGTCGTTTGCAGAGGTCGTCAAGCTTACGCAGAAACCCAGCCTAATCCTAAAACCTTCTGCGCAAAAGAACAAAACACAACTGAGAAAAGAGCTACAAGAGAAGGCGCCTCTCAGCAAGTTGCAAGTAGCAGTGGAAAGGATTTCCACCACAGCAAAAGGAGAGATAGAGGTCTATTGCAAGACAGCGAAGGACGTCGACAACTTAGAAGAGGCATTGCAGAAAGCCAACATCGATGCCAGCCTACGCAGACGACAACGAAGGAAACCGCGTTGCACAATTCACAACGTCTCAGACTCCGTTAAACCGGAGGATCTCATCGACGAATTGGCAACGACAACAAGCATTTCAACCAAAAATGTCAAGGCCCTTTTCAAGCTCAGAGAGAGAAATCCAATGCGTGTTAAATGGGTCCTGGAATGCGACCCCTCCTGTATCCAGGCAGTCCTTCGAGCTAGAAGAATCTACATCGGATGGCACGCACATAAAATTATAGAGTACTTGGGAATACGCCTATGCTACAAGTGCCAACAACTCGGCCACACACAAGACGAATGTACCTGCAAAAAGGAATTCTGTGCTTACTGCGCCGGACCCCATCACACCAGCAAATGTAAAGCCGAACTTCCAGAATGCATTAACTGTCGGGATGCAAATGAGAGACACGGAGCTAGGTATGACTGCAGGCACCCGGCATATGCAGCGGAGTGTCCAGAGTACCAACGTGCAGCGGCAAATATCAGAAGTATTACCCAGTACTGATAATAGCATCATATCACAAAACAGCGGAAGCCAGTCAAATACT